CCCTTTTCTATAAAAACCCCAAAGTTTCTGCCAGTCTCTCAGATACAGGTCTTGAACCTCCTTATCTGTTTCTCAGCATGGCCGTACTGAATAAAGTGCCTCCGCCATTGCTTGTCCCCATTGGCCTTACGGGATGGGTAGCTGAGCTTGGTCTGTTGAGGCCCTGGAGCTGGGACTTTTGTCCTGGAAATCTGGTAACTAAAAACCCAATTTAAAAATTATTATTAGATTGAGCAGACAGAATTCCTGTTTGAAATTGCTATAAAAGCTTCTAAACACACTCTGTTTCTGCACTTACCTCACTATTGTAGACCAGTAGCAACTAGTTCTTAACCTGCACACACCCTAGAGCAGTTTTCCATGGTCTCTGCTTGGCCACATCTGATATTGGGCTTGGAGAATATGGCCTCTTTCCATGGCTGAGCAGTTTGGTCAGCATGCTTGTGACTACAGAAGGGTGGGAACCTAAGGGCTTTAGGTTTTGAACATCTAGTCTCTTGGAAGGCATTTCTTCTCTGAGAATCTTTATTCTAATGTCTTCTTAAAACCAACAGCGTTGGGAGGGGGCGGGTGGGAAGGACCTTGCGAGGCTTGCGTGCCCGCCCCAGCCTGGGCCCCAGCGCCCACCAGGTCGCTCGGCCCGGCCGGGCCCAGCCAAGCCAAGCCATGATCACGGCGATCCTCATTTTAAACAACCACGGGAAGCCGCGGCTCCCCAAGTTCTACCAGCCCTACGGTGAAGATACACAACAACAAATCATCAGGGAGACTTTCCATTTGGTATCTAAGAGAGATGAAAATGTTTGTAATTTCCTAGAAGGAGGATTTTGGTAATCAGTCTTAAGCTGTGTAACTTACTGTGACCTAAGGAGTTAAATCTAATTAATTGGAGGATCTGACAACAAACTGATTTATAGACATTATGCAACACTATATTTTGTCTTCTGTGTGGATTCTTCAGAAAGTGAACTTGGCATTTTAGATTTAATTCAAGTATTCGTGGAAACATTAGACAAATGTTTTGAGAATGTCTGTGAACTGGATTTAATTTTCCATGTAGACGAGGTTCACAGTATTCTTGCGGAAATGGTGATGGGGGGATGGTATTGGAGACCAGCATGAAGGAAATTGTTACACAAATTGACGCACAAAATAAACTGGGGAAATCTGAGGCTGGCTTAGCGGGAGCTCCAGCCCGTGCTGTATCAGCTGTAAAGAATATGAATCTTCCTGAGATACCAAGGAATATTAACATTGGGGACATAAGTATAAAAGTGCCAAACCTGCCCTCTTTTAAATAAAATATAAAACAGGCCACTCCCAGGTAAAATCCAGGGGGAAAAGTCATCTAAGTTTACCATACAGTTGTTTACCAAAAGTAGAGGAGGAGAGTCTTAACTTTTGCTCTTGGATTTAAGTCAAGGTACTCTATAGAAGTTGTGTAAAATCAGTATGAAAGTTCAATGTTGCTTTTCTTGCTCAGTGATTTTTAAAGAAATTGTATAGTTCCGGTGTGATTTTCTTTTTTCTAAACTGCATTCCTATGCCCACCTAAGGCATGCCTCTATGTATTGGCTATTACAGTATTTTGAAAGTGAGGTATTTCTTTAATTATGTACAACCCAAAATGTTGGTGTTTTGTATGGATCACAAGTGTAGCAGTCCTTAATTCTTTCTGCTGTTTGTCACAATTGGTATTTAAAGAACCAAGTATGTATTGCATGAAAACATTATGACCTTTTCCTCTTAGTTTAAATAAATTCAAGGGTAACTGGATTTCTAAAGCAACTTTCTGTTTGCCTGATACCAACTTTAGCAATAATTTTTTTACTACCCTTTGACTCAAAAAGTAAATAAAGGTATATTTTATCACTGTTAAAAAAAAAACCAATGGCAACCAGCACCCAGTACTCATCTGTCTTCCAGCTTCTTGTCTTAGTGCTAGAAATAAGTTCGTTAGCCACAAGAACCTAGGTCACACACATTGTAAACTCCCCAGGCATACATCACCTTCAACTGTTGTAACAACAGTTCCTTCAAATGTGTCGTCACTTTTTCAGGTGGGGGTCACTTTCTGAGATCTGGCCTCTGGTATATAGTTTCTTTTTTTTTTCTTTTTTGGTACCAGGGGTTGAACTGGGATCCTTGCACTTGCGCAGCAGGCGGCGAAACCACTGAGCTAAATCCCTGGCCCTGAAACTATTCTTTTTTGGTACCGGGGATTGAACTCTGGTCCTCGTGCTTGCACAGCAGGCGGCGAAACCTCTGAGCTAAATCCCCAGCCTATAGTTTCTTGAGTAGGCCCAGAACAGTTTGTGCACCAACCCTCGTCCCTGAGCCGGTATTCTGGAATTTTTGTTCAGGGACCATCTCCTTTCTAGTTTGCATACCAATGAGGATAGACTAGCTAATGTTGCATAGTTACTCCTAAAATCTTGATGGCTTAATAGAACAAGGTTTGTTTCTTCCTTACATCACATGCTCATCCCATGTCACGTGGGGTTCTCTGTTGTGCTTGTGCAACAGAACAGACACCGTTTCAGTGTTTTCTGGTGAGTGACAGAAGTAAAACTTGTCATGCATACAACTGTTGCCAGAACCAGATAAGCCTCTTACTCATGTTTTTTTGGCCACAATTAGGCACATGGTGGCTATAACAACTTCGGGGCTGGGGAGGGGGAGGAAGGAGGTGAATCTTACATTACACTGCCGGAGACCTGGAGCTGTGCTAAGGAATCACCACACCAAGCCAAGTCACAGTTCTCCCTAGGTACCCATCACTTCATTCTAGGTGTTTGGATTTTTGAAGCGTCAAGTATTGCTTTCTATTTCCTATTGCTGTTGTTGGAGAAAAAGCAAAAAGCCTGGTGTGTCTTTGTTTTCACTTTGTTCATGTTAATTACGCTTGGCGCCCCCCCCCCTCCCCGCCCCGAAAATCTTTTTATGAGGAGAGTATGTCTCTGGGCAAATGCATCTTATTTTCAAGTATGCAATGTCTTCTTTTCTGTGACCTTGTAGGATGAATTGGGTTAATATGAGTAGAAGCTATCGAAGATTTGATTATATACAAGTAATAACTTTTAAAATCAAAATGAAAAGGTAACACTGTTTAAGAAAATGGTTCTATAAGGCTTCATGAGTTCCTTGTTATTGTCGATTTTGTCTTCAATGCCCATTGTTTTGGCTTTGACGTTCCTATTTCTAATAAATTTGGTTTTTGATTTTGTGAAAAATGAAGATTTAGTTCTCTCTTATGTTAGTTACTTATCTCTTGTTACTGAGACAAAATACCCGACACTCAGAGTTAAAGGTTGAAAGGTTTATTTGGCTCACAGTTCGTAGAGGTTACAGTCCATAACCAGCTGGCTCTAAGGCAGGGTTGATAGAGGGGTAACAGTTCAAGGTGGTGGAAGGCAGCAAAAGCAGCAAGGGATTTTAACACGTAACAGTGTCTTCCTGCCCTGTTCATCTTATGCAGACTACTCAGGGTGGGTAGCACTCACACCCTTAATCCTAGTGCTCTCAGGCTTTGCCTTGCACCACAAATCATACACTCTAGGTTCAGCCACCTCCAAAATAGCCCCACCTCATTGGCATGAGGCTTTGGGGGACATCTAAACACAAGCCATAGCATCTCTCATCCCTTTTCTCACCCTCACTGGCATGATCCCTTACTCTGTCCTTTCTCGATCAACTGTGATTGTAATGGTTTTGATTCCAGCTGACCTGTGCTATATTTTTTCCTTTAAGTAGTTTTGAAAATAATCAAATCTAATCAAAGATGGAACAAGCAGTAGGGATTACTGCTGAGTTCCTATCTCTACAAGTGTATAAGGATAACTACCAATATCTCTCATTGACCAAATGCATAGTACCTTCCTGTATGTACCTAATTTCATTTGTCCAGTGAGATAGAAGATGTGGCAAAGTACTCAAGCATTGGTTGTGTGGTTACACCTTTTGGTATTCAAAATACATTTTAGGAGAAAATGTGTTAACCCTCATGTCCAAGTTAGTATTAAAATAATTGAGTTGTAACTTCAAGGCCAGGAAAAATATTTTGTGTTTGAATCTTTCAATTGTGCTTTCATGTAATGTTTTATAATTTAATTATAGTTATTTTATATGATAATGAATGTTATGTAGTTAATTCCCTTATCCTTGAGAATGCATACGTTTCCTTCTAGAATATGAAGAAAATAGTGGATGACCTATTTTAAAACATCTCCATTAATAAAGAATGACTTTAAAATAGGCTGGTTTAGGGCCGGGGATATAGCTCAGTGGTGCTGCTGCCTGCCTTGCAAGCGCAAGGTCCTGAGTTTGATCCCCAGTACAAAAAAAAAGGCTGAAAAAAAAAGGCTGGTTTGAAATAGCTGTAATGTATACTCAATTTTAATGTCAAGGATACCCCTTAATTATATCATTAAAATTACATTTTAATATACCTGCCACAGTTCTCACTCCTCATTTTACTTAGAGTTTTTGAACCCTTGACTCATTATTAAAAATTGCTAACAAATTTATTCACTGTTTGAGATGAGCTCTAGCCCCAATGAATGGAACTACCAGTGAGTGAAGAAATAGTACCTTTTTAAGGAATACCTGCGTAGTAGTGAGGGGTATTATGTGTTTACTGATAATGTTGGATGGTCAGAGTAAGTATTCAAGTTATGATTTTTCCATACATTTTCTTTTATCATTTTATTTATTGAAAAATTTTACCATTTTAAGTGTGTAGAAATGACTTGGTATTTTTTTCTATCCTGTTTTGAAAAAATTACCTGCATATGAAAAGTATGGGTCCTGTTTGAAAAAGATAGTGAGTGTATCTTTACCTTCTACAATATTTTGTTTTTTCTTTTTTTTTTTTGGTACTGGGGATCGAACTTGGGACCTTGTGCTTGCAAGGCAGGTGCGGGAACCACTGAGCTAAATCCCTGGCCCAATATATTTTTATATTATACTAATTTTCCTAAACTATCTTCTTTTAAACTAAGATATATAGATCATCAGAAGAAAAACTTACTGAAGTTGCTCAAGAAAAATTGGAAAAAGCCAAGAAAAAGAAGATAAAATTAATAGCAGATACAGTGGGCAGGATGGAAGTAAGTACACTAGGGAAGAAGATGAGAGAGAGATCTAGATCAAATCTGAATTCAGAAAATAGAACTGAATTAAAATATGAGTTGGAAAAGATTTAAAGTTTTAAATGGTATAAAGAAATCCTAAGTCTTAAGTGTTAAAACGTATGTATGTTTAGAAAGGATGTTGTTAACATAGTTTTTTTTTTTCCTAAACATATATGGTTTTAATTAAAATTTTAAAAACCTGAAATAAAAAGTAAAATAAGAAAAATAAAATACTCGATATATTTTGGCTTTTCCATAACTTGTGATTTAGGCAAGCACATTTACTTTGAATGACACAGTGCATCCATTGATGCCTGTTATTGTAACATTCTCATGAAGGGAAGTATTCAAACTCCCTACTGCTCTTCATGTCTAGACAGGTCTTAGATGTAGATGGGATCCATTTACATCCCTCCAGTGGTGTTAGGGTTCAGCAGAGCCCATTTTAAGTCTTGTTTCGCGGCCCATTCTTGAGTATCCTCTTACTTGCTCACTTGCTTTTCATGGAAATATTTGCTTTATTCCCTCCAGTCTGATGCTCTTTCACTCTCTTCCTTACGGTGAATGCTCAAGCTATTTTCTGCATTGTTTTCTGGGCTCTGAAAAAAAAAATCTTTTAACATAGTTTTTAATAGGTATCGTCTCAGGATTTAAAGTAAAAAGAAAATAAACATTATACCTATAATTTGGATGTTTTACTCCCGTCTTTTTAAATTTTTATTTATTTTTATTTTTTATTTATTTTTTTGGTATGGGGGATTGAACTTGGGACCTTGCGCTTGCAAGGCAGGTGCTGGAAACACTGAGCTAAATCCCCGGTCAACTCCCATCTTAATGGTATTAAGGAATTGAGTATTTATTGTAAATTAACTGTAGGTAGATAAAAGGCCCAGTTTAAAAAATGGGTTGGATAATGTTTGAGAATTAATTTTAGAATTGTAGTAAATATTTGTGCCTACTTAAATATTTTCTAGGTACTGTATCTTTGATTTCTTTTGCAATTATAAAAAAATCAGAAGTTATCAAATTAATGTCATTATATATAATTCCCCCTCAAGTTTTCACTAGGAGATACTATAGTAAAATTCTAGCAAAATCAAATAACATAAGTTGTGATTTAACTTTCTTTTTTTTTTTTTTTTTTAGATTTAACTTTTAACAAATTGATTTAACAAAACATTGTTGAATGCTTATTTAGAACCTAGGAATTGTCCTAGGGACTGGAACACAGCAGTGAACAAAACAGATAATATCTCCTGCTCACGTAGAGCTACAGCTGAGGATGTCATCTGACTTCCATGTATTTAGAGTTGGGGTCTCTTTTGTCATAATGTGCATTTTGTACAAGTCAGCTGAAGACCCTCTGCCAGAACTGAGTCCTCAGAAATATTTCAGTACCTTGCAACCAGGAAAAGCTTCTTTAGCTTATTTTTGTCACGCTGGTAAGTGTTTTTAAAATTTTAATATGATTCTTGTGATTTTTTTTTTTTTTGGTACTGGGGATTGAACTCCGGTCCTTGTGCTTATGCAGCAGGCAGCGAAACCACTGAGCTAAATCCCTAGCCATCTTGTGATGTTTATATGCCTGTTCAGTCATGCTCAGTAGGAACTTACTGTCCTGAAAAACACTGTATACTGTGCAGCTGTCTCTGTAATGTGCCTGCCTGGGTGACTCTAGACTCTTCTGTCTGGCCTGCAGTGTGACTTTGGTCAAGTCACTTGGCTTCTTTCTATATTTCTTTTGTCCTCTATTATGAGGAAATAGTATTTGTTTTCTAAGTTTGTTGTGAGGATTAAATGAGTGTATTCATATGCTCAATTCATAGTAAGTACAGTACTAGTTGGGAATTAGTTACTGATACATCTGAATTTCATTTCGTCATTTTTGAAAGTACTTTCTCATGTTTTTAGTATGTAAATATTATAACAGTGTTTTAAAACTTGAAATGTAGTCTTATGAATGCTTTCGTTTAATACTATGCTTTTGCTGTACCATTAACTAGTGTAACTGTTGAACAGAATTGTAATGGTTTCATTTAAGAACTCACACTCTGAAGATACTATTCTGTTCTTTCGATTGTTAAGTGAATCCACATTTCTTTCTGTTTCCTTAATATGAATGTGATTTGGTATTTTAAAATCATTTCGAAGGTTTTGTGTATATGTGTTTTGCATATATGGTCTTAAACTTGGAAGAATAATGCAAAATGTTAGGTTTAAATTAAAAATATATTGTTAAATAGGACGTTTTAAAGGTCACTTAAAAGTTAAAATCTATCATGATAAAAACATTACAAATAATAATGCAATAAGGAAATAAGGGTGTAAAGATGTATAACTAGGTATGTTTAGTTATTGTTGAAGGGTAGTTGGACAAATAAATATGTCTTCTGTGGTTGCAGATTTTGGCTTTAATTTTAAAAATTCATCTTTTTTAAGGAGTAATAATCATTGCAAAACATTTCTTGTTCTAGATTCTCCAAGTACCTCTGTAGTTCTTGAACAACTGAATGAGGCTGTTAGACCTCTCCAGGACTATGGGATTTCAGTTGCAAAGGTAAAAAGCTATTTATGTTAGTAGAATATTAGTGACAAACATTTTACAGTTGTATGACTTAAGATTGAGTATCTAAAAATACTTGAGTTTTGTTTTACAAACTGGAAAAGTATTTTTTCTTCCTTTTTTGTATAAGAATAGAGAGAAGCACAAAATTTCAGATTGTGTCATATAGTACATGCAGAGGGAAAAAAAAGTATTTAAAATTCATTGTTTTTTTCACATTGTTCTTTCACGTTGTTCTTCACATTTAGTTAGATCCCTTGCCCTTTTTATTTATTTATTTTTTAAAATTTTGAGACAGAGTCTTGTCCAGTTGCTGAGTTGTCCAGGTTGGACTTCCTCTTGCCTCAGCCTTCCAGAGTATTGAGATTACAGGCATGTGCCACCATACTTGACATGTTTAAAGTTCTTTAGTTCAGAATTCCACTATTTTATAAACCATTCTATTTGGATATAGTGTCAGTTTTCAAATTAAAGGCTTTGGTTCTGTTTTGTTTTGCCTGGCAAATATTTCATAATAGATATTTACAATTCAACTATTTATTAAATTTCTATTAATACAAACTGAGGAGACAAAATTAAGATAATTGAAGAATTTTTTGTATCATTGTGTTCTTCATGAATGAAGAATCATTGTAGTTGTTTGTTACAGCTTCTCACATTTATTTTTAGAACAATTTTTAAAACAATTCAGTTTGAAAGTACGTATTTAATATTTTTCTCAAAAAGTTATAAATGACAATAGAGTATTATTTAAAAATTTCATGTGCATCTGGGTTAGATAGCTGCATAAACCATTTATTTCATTTAAATTTGTAATTTGTACATCAGAAAACTGAATGGGAAGTAACCCAGTGGTATTAAATTCTTTCAGATTAATGTCTAACTGCTATTCTTGTACATGTATTCTTTCTTAAGTCATTGGTCTGCATTCTCCAGAGGTGTTTGTTGTCTTTCATAGTGTCTGCAGCTCGACCTTTCTAGGCAGGATGCATAGAAAGGTTAATTAACTTTGGCCATATACCCTAACAAACACACATCAAAAATCTCTTTTTTTTTTTGGTACCGGGGATCGAACTTAGGACCTTGCACTTGCAAGGCAGGTGCCAGAACCACTGAGCTAAATCCCCGGCCCGAAACCCCCTATTTTTTTAATGTGAAAATTCTGTATGTATAGGAGTCTCAGTTAAAATTTCAGCAAATGAATTCTCTCCAGAATGATAATGGCACTTGTCTCTCAGGAGCTTTGAATAAAATTTTAAACTGAGATTTATAAATGAAATAGTAAATTAATATGAACTTCAGAGGGATAATCATTTCTGTTTATTTAGATACTCACAGATTAGTACCTAGTACTGTCTTTCTGGTAGCTACTGGAATAGAATATTAAGATTTGTGCCTGAGTGATGGGAGGAAAAGGGGAAAGGAAAGAAGGGAAAGGAAAAATTATGAGAAAAGAAAAAAGAATGGAAATGAAGTCTATGTAAATAGGGAAGGGCGGAGGGAGTGAAGGGCGCACAGGTAATGGGGAAAAAATAAGAACCAAGATACATCATGTACAGGTACAAGCACCCAATGACAAATGTAAACGTATTGTGTATCTAAAATGTACCAACAAAAGAACTTAAGAAGGGCCAGGGATTTAGCTCAGTGGTTTCGCCGCCTGCTGCACAAGCGCAAGGACCCAAGTTTGATCCCCGGTACCAAAAAAAAAAAAGAACTTAAGAATTAAAAAAAAAACAAACATTTGTGCCTAGGCCATTGGTGTTATTAACTAACGTAATTTAACCTCTTGATTTCATGATCCAGCACGTGGAGCTACGTGCAAAGTACAAAGTGACAAGTAAGAGGAGCCCATGTTTCATAGCTAACTCAGTCTTTGACACATAGTGAATATTCTAAACATTTGAGGTTGAAATGAGCTTACTGTATCCTAAGTAGAGAGGATAAAACACATTCACAAATTATTTCAATAACTAGCAAAATCTGATAACTGTAATAAGAGACAGAAAAATAAAGGGCTAGAAGTTTAAAGGAAAGAAAGCTTATATCTGATTATTGAAGTGGAAAGTCACAGATGGGTTGGGGAAGACTTCACAAAGAGTAGCATTTGAAAACATTTTCAAAAGTTATGACTGCCAGAGGCAGAAGTGGATAAAGAAAACAGTTTAAAAAAAAATGGACTAAATGTTCCAGTTTGTCTAAGATTGTCAAGCTGGAGACAGTAATCAAATCCAACTGTATGCTACTTAGAAATGTGTTTAAAATAAAAGCATCAGAAATCTTCAGAATATGTGAAGGAAAAAGATAACCAAGAGAAATCTCGTGTAGCAATGTTACTATATCAAAGTCTATTTTAAAACACAAAACCGTTCAGTTATTCTTGACTTTTCTTTCTCTCATACTGGCTCATCTACTACTAGGTTCTGCTCTTAAAACTTCAAATCTGACTTTCCTGTGCCTTTACTTTTTCTTCTAGTTGTCATCACTTCTCATCTAGGAAACCACAGGAATCTCCTAATTATTGGCCTTTCTCCCTTCACTCTTATCTCACTACAAATCTTTCTCCACATTCATCAGAAGTGACAGGACAGATTGCTACCCTACCCAGGAAGGCTTCTTGTTACAGTTGTGATAAAATTGGAACCCTTGAGTAGTGCAGATTGGCTTTGTCTCTTATCTCATTTTTTGGCCCCCTGCCTTGGTTAGTTTGTTCCTGATACATACTGACTATCCCCCTCCCAGTCCAGTACTGGGGCATCAAACCCTAAGGTATTATACCACTGAATTAATCTCAGCCTTTTTTTTTCTTTTAAATTTTGAGACAGAGTCTTGCTAAGATACCAAAGTGAAACGTGAACTTGGTCCTCCTGCCTCAGCCTCCTGAGTGCTGGAATTACAGGCTTGTGCCACTGTGCCCAGCTGTTCTTCTGTTACTTGAACCTGCTAGAGGTTCTATTACCACACGGCCTTTGCAGGTGTTTTCCCCTCTGCTTAGAACTTGTCTCTTCCACATATTTATATATTTGTATGTATTGCTTTACTGTTTATTACTTTTTATTTATAGCTCTTAACATATAT